CCCGAGATTGGGGATGCTGCGCTCATGGATACGCGGTCGAAATTCTCAGGGGGACTAAGCAGAGGTATGAAAAAGACGTATGATATGGGTATAGGTCAATGTCTGATCGTGATTATGATGTTCGTCTAACGGCAAAATGCGAACATGGCAGCTACGCAAGTGTTGACGCAGATATTTTCCGGAGCATCAACAGCTACGGAGAGCGAATCGTGGCCGTAGGCATCGAAACCGTGGCCCTAGAACCATACCGAGGAATGAAGGCGTGATGCGAGCGCTGAGCAGTAACCCAAGCAAGTGTCGGAGTTACTGGGATGGCCAGAGTTGTCGTTTCTCCAGGCACTCATCAAGAAGGCAGTTCTCACGACGATGTCTTCTCGATAGCAAGCGTCTCAAATTACACTAGCAACTCAGAAACGAGCGATTTAGGGAATAACAGTGACTCGGCAGCGAACGATTGGTTCTCCGATGCAGAATCTGTGGAGAGCTCATCAACTACACACAACGCTCGCTCCACGTCAGATGCTTCTCAATTGGTCCAAGCAGGAATGCCTCATGAGACAGACTTCTCTGAAGCCTCATCAAGCTATCTTGATGACATCTCGTACTATTCTGCCTCGTCCCAAACTTGACTTGAACACATTGCGATGCAATAGATGGCTAACAGCAGTCATATCCAGCTAACGAGTCACTCCATATCCACGGATTTACAGGATTACACCCTGCAGCGGCTGCAGTGCAGCCTCGTATACTATTACTCGTGTCAAGTCATCGTGTCCAGACAGTGAAATATTGTTGCGTTCAGTTAGTGACTCAGTGGTAAGATGAGGAGAGATATAGCTTACTCATAGTGAACAATCGAATGATAATCTGAGCCAGAACCAAATCTAGGTGGTGAAAAGATTTGAGTACGACGCGAGATATACGTGCAGTATATCCTGAGTAACCCCTAAGTTGGTATGCTAACGCAACGATACGAGCCATATCATATGTCGGCAGCATCGTGCTATGGTGTATAATGCAAACACAATACGATAATTTATCGTAGTCTAACTCATACACTGCATGCATGCAATGCATTTCAACTGTCTCTTCTTGTAAGAAGTTTGTGCTAGTTCGGGCATGTTTGACATTTCACGCTTGGTTTGTGATAGAAACGCTGGCCGTCCGAAAAAGCCTCGAGTCGCGTGCCACAGACATAGCCTGCTTTCAAAGCAGACTTTGTACCCGAAGTTCGGGTACGGCGTCGGGTCCCGAACTTGACGAGAAACAGAAAGATGATTGGTCTGTTTAACAGACTGTTCAACAGTCTAGCAAGATGTTGCGTACCTCTATTCACTGACTAGAACACGACAGGACAACCTGGTAATCTCTATTATAAGAATCTCAAAACCTATACGCTATCGATCAGCATGCCTTGGTGGCTCATACAGCATAACTCAACTATGTGACTCTTTGTATGAGCAGACGCATGCTAGAGTGTGTACTACACACCTTAGACCCTCGGAGATAGTTATATATCCATCCTCTCGACTGGAATACTCTGTGAAAATTGAGAAGAAGCGTCGACCGTCGATGATCGACGTAATCGGGAAAATACTAATAATCATTCATCCACGTGTGGACGGCGGATGAAGGATTCATGAGGGAGCATCTGATGAGGCTTCAGGGAGATGCTAGAAGAAATATTATAGTAGTCTCTACTCCATGGTTCATGGACCATGAAAGACCATCTTATCTCCTTCAACCTAACGGCACCAAAATCACGACTCATACTTATCTAGGTAGAGCGTAACCTTATGCTTCCCAGGCCCTTGGACCTTAACAGACACACGGTCAGTCCGTTCGTCGTGGAAAAATTTGGAGAGATCAGGCATAACTGCTTTGGGCAGCCACATTCCTTGTTGTAGAAGGATAGGAGTTGCGTATACGTAGATGGTAGAGGGTCCAAAATAGCATATGCCCCACGCGGTAGTGAAGGCCCGACTGTGAACCACGCTTCGAACTTTTTACGGGCAGCGCCGCATACGATACTGAAATGAAGGCGAAGTGAATATGTTCCCTTCGTGCTGAATATCGCATCCATTCGAAGATAAGCAGGATTCAAAGCGTGTCCCATGTAGTGCCCATTGGGAGGCTCGGCGAACATCACTGATAGCTTCGAGATCACCACCGCCAACATCACCAACTTGCAGCTCGATGGATACATTGATGGAAACAGTGAGATGGAAACTTATGAGATATGAAGCTCACCTCTCCGCTTGTAGTCGAAGGAGGCAAAATTTCGTTTGGTACTTCCCAGGCTGGTAGTGCTCAAGGGCCTTCGCCCAGCTTTTATTCAGAATTTGTACAGTTTGTCCCCTGCCAGAATCAGAACCCGTATATGGCCTCGGAAAGTACTTGAGTCTCCCTCAAAATTGTGCTATGGCTGTGCATTGCACAGCGTGCAACTGATCCTGCGTCACGGGCAACGTGACGCGTCACTTGACGCCGCGTGTGGTAGGAGGATCTGCCCACTCCTGTTGGGCAGTCTGTTAGCTGCATTGTATAGATTGCTCGCTATATGTAAATCGACTCCCTTCGGCCATCGGCATTAGCTACTTTCGTCGTTGTCCGACTGTTCGGCCCTGCCCGTGCGGGATAGACAGTCTAAGGCGAGCGCGAGAACCTTATCCGTAACTAACGTGTACATGCGTCAAGCGATCGGTTGCATTCAAGAGTCTTTCGAGGGATTCTTTTGAGAATTACTGTTGGCACCCCTGCCAACCTTTTCGACCGCAGCTAAGGATTATCTTACTGTAATCCCAATTTGGGATTACAGTTACTATACAGCCGTGTCTACCTTTGGTATTCCCAAAAGTAGACACGGGTGTAAGATTCTTACACCCGTGTCTACCTCGTGTCTACGGTAGACAGTGGAGACAGAGAGAGAGGTAGACAGTCTACCTCTCTCTCCTTTCCCTTCCAAAGGGGTGAGAAGGCTACCGCCGGCGAAGAAGTATCCTATTTGTCAAGGTGGCCATTATGTCTACCAGTGTCCAGAGAAGAAATATGAGTAAGGGTGCTTTCTTTGTAACGGCTGCTAAGCAGGCCGCGGTCGCCCCCAGAGGATACGGTTTTCTATCCTATCGATGGAGGTCGAGGACTATTTTTGCTCACCGATTTTATTTTCCCTCATGGTCAGGGGCGTGGTTTATTTCGTGCCTTGGCGGACACTAGCTGCTGTCACAGCAGTGCTGTGCCACCTTAGTATCCCTATCTCAGCTGCCTGAAGATCTTGCAGTGCAGCCGGTGGATGGATGTCAACTGCTGACCGTAGACAAGTCCGAATTCACCATTGTCAGCACCGTTAATCTTGGTTTCTTTTTTATGAGTCTGCGGAGGCGGCGACAGCCTCCTATTTGGCCCGTCACCAGGATTCTCCCAAGGGCCTGCGATGTACCATGTCCGTGTACGTTTGTGATTCGTTGACTTTTCCGATTACTTTGGGCCATGACTTTTTTACGACATTTTGGGTTCAACATGCTCTATGAGCAGAACCCGGTAGAGTTGAGGAGTAGTACGGCCCGAAGTCACTTCGGCCGGCACTTCGGCGAAGTGCCGGATCGGCTGCTCTATATGCGTTCGACTTGGGCTCAGCCAGTGCGCTGAGATAGGAGATGGATACTGTTCGAGTGGGAGATAGCTTCGCCGTGCCGTATGGTGGGACCCAGACTACATCCCGGCAGGAGAGGAGTCCGATAGAAGGCGGCTCGTGACCTGAATGTGAATTTCGGTCAGGGCAGCCTCCCGCCGAGGCAAAGGCAGCCGTCTCTACTCAGACAGAAAGCCGTCGTGAATTAATCAACTGGGGGCGAGAGCTCCCCGAGTATGTTGGTGGGGAATGCGTTAATAGTGCGGCAGCCTTGAGGCTTGCCGGACTGGGAAGATGTGATGCGGCCTGTCAGACTGAGATAGAAAGCGATTCGGCTTGCGCACCACGGGGCAGCCAGATTTTGGAATCGCTAAGCATACAGAGAACCGGCCCATTCGGGATGAGTGGGATAGGTACTTGATGATTTTCAACGATTTTGATGACCCGTCCGATTCGTCCATGCTATTGCCGCCCAACCCAAGTACAGCCCCTCACGATGAAGAGTAGCTCAGCAAGGGCTGAAGATTCCTGGTCGAGGACAGATTCGGTCGTTTGCTCCAACGCAGCTGCCGAAGGGTGCTATTCTGACCGCCCCAGATAAGTGGCCTCCTCCTGGTTGCGATATGAATGAGCTCGACGACGACGGTATTGCGGGTGCAATGCGTTTCCCATTCCAGATTTCCGGTCCGAGGAGAGACAGCTCCCTGAGATTGATAAAAGAAGGCCTGAGCTGAGGCCCTCCCAGGCACTCTGCGAGAAGTTTGGTCAGCTATTTTCCCTTCGGCGCGGACATTGCGATAAGGTGCAGGATCGGGTGAATACCAATGACGACACCACGGTGATGGAACGAGTCCGGCCCGTACCCCATGAGTGGCGGGAAGGTATTGAGGCTCAGCTTCGGGAGATGGAGGAACTCGGGTCATCAAAAGGTCTACGTCGGCCAGGCGATTTCCCTGTGTTTATGTCCCTAAGAAGAATGGGGAAGTTTGCATGTGTGTAGACTACCGCAAGTTGAATCAGGCCTGTCACACAGAAGCGTATCCGGTACCGAGGCCTGCCGACGTCCAGGGGCACCTTTGTCATGCCAGAGTGTTCTCTAACCTAGATTTGCGTAGTGGGTATTGGCATCTCCCGATGAGGCCCGAGGATCAGCGCAAGACGGCTCTTTGCCCAGGGCCTGAGTTCCCTTTGTATGAATGGTGTCGCATGCCGTTCGGCCTGGCTTCGGCCCCGGCCACCTTTCAAAGGTTAATGGATATGGTGCTCGGACACCTGCCGTATAGTAGGGTGTATCTGGACGATGTCCTCGTGTTCAGCCGCAGTTGTGAGGAACATTTACGGCATCTGGAAGAAGTGTTCCGCTTACTTGAAGAAGTTAGCCTGACGATTGCCGGAGACAAGTGTGAGATCCGCTATTCAGAGGTTACCTACCTCGGGCACGTCTTCAATGATTAGGGTATGACCGCTGATGCGGCAAAGGACTACTTCGTTGGCCTGTTCCTACAACGGCCAGCGAATTGAGGTCGTTTGTCGGCCTGGCCAGGTATTATCGACATTTTGTTAGCCATTTCTCTTCACTGGTGAGGCTCCTGTATGCTTTGGAGTCCGCCTGTAAGAAGGAGAAGAGTAACAGCCCCTTGGATAAGTGGAAGGAAGAGCACTATACGGCCTTTCTACACTTGAAGTGTGGCCTAGCGTCCTTGCCGGCCTTGCCTTACGCCGACTTCGAGCAGCCTTTTCAGTTGGTTACAGACGCCTTCGACCACGCCATTGGTGCAGTATTGGAACAGCAAGGAAGCCCTCTGGCTTTTTAGAGTCAGGCGCTTCTGGTGCACAATTGAGGTGGCCGGTTTATGAAAAGGAGGCCTATGCGATATTCAAGGCGTTGGACCAATTTCGTGCGTTTTTTTTGGATTACCCTTTTCGATCGTATTGTCCGATCACCGGCCGTTGCAATGGATAACAACCTCCAATTCAGCCAAAGTTCAGCGCTGGCGACTGGCAATGACCCAGTACTCCTTCACTGTACGATATGTGGATGGAAAGGCCAATAAGGCTGCCGGCGCGCTCTTGAGGTTACAGACTACGACCTCAACGAATGAGTTCCTGCCAGAGCTGCCGCCTGCACGCCTGTTTACTGGGACAATGACGAGATACCCTGGCCCTTTGCCGGGTATCTCGTAGCAATGGTCCAAGGAAGATATCGAGCGGCAGCAGAATGATGACCCCATCATTGTTGAGATGAGGGAACGACGTCGAAGCCACCAATCACTGGCAAGGATGGAGTTCAAGATACCCCCGCTTCGACTATATAAGAAGTTATGGAATGTGTTGGATGTTACAGATGGTATCTTGGTACGGTCGGCAGCCAACCGTTGGCTCATTTCCTGCCCAAGGACGAGGCGAGATGGGTCCCGGTGGTACCGTGGCAGGAACTCATGCAGCATTTCCGCGATTATGATGGCCATTTCGGACGAGACCGAAATCTGGAGATGTTACGGCGACTGTGTTACTGGCCATGATGGCCAAGGATGCTGTCGAGCATATAGCGGCCTGTCGGGAATGTCAGATCGCTAAAGGGCATCGGCCACCTATTGGCCCCGCGATGCCTTTACCGGTTGGTACGCCCTGGCGAACCGTGGCTGTTGACTTCCTCATGGCGGCCCCAGCGCCTGATGGTATCTCCGAGCTACTGGTGGTGGTAGACCACTTCACGAAATGGGCTGATGCATATCCTGTGCGAGAAGAGTCAGCCAAAGAGACAGGCAGATGCCTGTTACATTTGTTTTCTATCTTCGGCCCTCCTCAACGTTTACTCTCGGACCAAGGTTCAGCTTTTGAAAGTCAGTTGTCCTTAGAAGCCTTTACAGTTGCTCGGCGTGACGAAAGGGAGAACCAGTATGTATCAGCCATGTGCCAATGGGACCGTGGAGAGGTTCAACGCCACGATTTTGGGCCTGTTGAGAACTCATGTATCTTCGGGAAATTGGAAGCAGTGGTTACGGCCTTGATCGTCATGCTTTGATCCTGCAGGTTACGTTGAACATGCGTCTTTCGTCAAGGCCCGATATTGTCGACCAGTTGGTCGTCAGCCGCTCCTCAACCCATCGTCAGCAAGCTAGGGCTGGTCTTCCGCAGAGCCGTGTATTTTATGTCGGTCAACGGGTCATGCTGAGAATATTCCGAACGACGATTCCCGGTCACAAGTTCCTGTTTTGCTGGCAACCGAACTGGTATGTGTTGAAGTTCGTCCCTGGCACAAACGAAAAGTCGGTTGTGTTACGTCGATGGCCACTGGCCATTGGCCAGATATGGCAGAGAAAGTCATCTCTATTGATCATGTGATCAACGACTCACTACCACCGGAGCACGTCCCGGCCGACTCGTATTGCCCGTCACGTCCAACCCCAGCACGGAAGCCC